CAAACCTCCACATCAACCTTAGTACTACACATAGTGAAAATGCAGACAGAGGCATTATGATGCAGTACAAGCAGTGCACGAAAGGCTAATGAGACACCCACAGATAAAATAAATGACGCAGAATTTATATATGTCTCGCAAGTGTTCACAATTTGAAATAATCAGATAGACAGACAACAAGTTAACACAAACTTGATCAGTCAATAATAATAGGTGACAGATAAGAATTTCAAATTTCAAATAATCTTGAAGAACCGTTAATCCCAGTCCCCTCAGATTCTAGGGTTTTCAAATGAAACCCTAGACAAAGGAAGATTCAAGAGGGTTCAAACAAGAGATCCAAAAAATATTTTTCAAAAGGAAATAACAATATAGGGTTAGAAATTTGTTACCAAAGTCCTCAGATTAAGAATGTGAAATAGTGAAAATCAGAACTATTTTACCAATCTGCTAAGAATGTGAACCAGACAATTTCTAGTAAAGATCCTTTAAGATATGGAGTCACGTTCACCAAGAACAACCAGAAATAGTTTCAGATCGAAGTGCTCTAATACCTCAGTGGGAATTATTCAGGCCCCAAAACACAAAGTAATGCGAAAAATAGATATGAACACAAAAGATTTTTCGCCATAAGGCCCGGATGTTCACCCAAAATAGGGCTAGTCACCCGTTGAGTATTCACCGAAGTGATTAACGCTCCAATCCACTAAAAACCAACAATATTATCAAGATCAAAGTTACAACACAATAGATCCACAAATGATCCGCCCTCAGATCCAAGTATCTCTCACAAATCATTCAGAAATACGATTACACAGAGTAACCAAATGTTACTGGCCATAAAAGAACAGAAAACCAGAACCAAGCCTTAATCAAACACTAGATCTCACCAAGAACACCTAGATCAAAGATTACGGGAGAAAATCAAAGGTTTTCATAGAGAGAGAAACGAGAGAGCCAAAAAGAGAAAACCCTAGAAAGATCTCGAATGAATGAGAGTGAATAAAGAGTCAAGCCAAAATAATATCAACAGTTTGAAGCATCTAACGGCCTCAGCTCCATCCACGTGTCATAATCTCAGCCTTTGAGATTGGTAATGAATTTGGGCTGCACCAAAATAATATCAACAGTCAGAAGCATCTAACGGCCTCAGCTCCATCCACGTGTCACAATCTCAACCTTTGAGATTGGTAATGAATTTGGGCTGTAGAGTTGCATTCTAATGGGCTGGCCTTCTCTCAATTAGTTAAGGGTTGCATCATAGGGCCCATTCACAGGTAAGAAAATTGGGCTGCCTCAATATGGGCCAAATTGTTAAGCACCAACTTTACAATTAATACAATGTTAAGTTATGTAAATCTTATTGAAGGCTCTAGAAGAACCAATATCACGTTAAATGGGGAACATAAATTTTTTATGCTAAGTTTTGAAGATATATGAAATTAATATAGAATTTCTCTATATTACTTCTATTAGGTGAAAAATATATATTCGAAAGTTTACACACTTTCTCTTCCGGTCTGTACTATACAAATATTTGTATAATTGTAGTAAATACAATATTGAACCAAAAGTTCAATGATACGAAATGTTTTGTTATTTGGCATGACCGATTAAGTTGTCTCAACTTAGTAATGATGCGAAGAATCACTTGGAATTCTAATGAACATCAATTGAAGAACAAGAAAAATTTCATTCTAATGAATTTTATAGTGCTACTTTAGGTTGGGACTGCCTCTCCATTATATTTGAAATGTATTCAAGGTGACATGTAGCCCATTCACCCTCCACACAGACCATTTAGATATTTTTATAATTTTTATAGATGCATCTACTAGATGGTCACACGTGTGTTTATCTACTCGCAAAATGACATTTACGATATTACTTGCTCAAATATTCGATTACGAGCACATTTTCCAGACAATCCAATCAAGATATTTCGTTGATAATGCTAATAAATTTATATCTCAAATATTTAATAATTATTGTATGTCAGTGAGATAAAGTTGATCATCCTCTTGCTCGTGTTCATAGACATAACGGTCTAGCCTAGTCATTCTAAATTGGCTTCCCGGTCATGAGCCTAATATTCCCATACGGTACAGTACATGTTCTAGGGTTGGCAAATCAAATTTGCTCACGACATTCTTAGTATTTTAAGTAAGGAAGAAAGGAATTTTTTGACATACTTAGGTGGTGGAAAATAAATGAGCATCAATATCCTATTATTTCTATTATAGCATGTAATCTAGTAGCACTTTTGATATCTATTTTGGCATTAGAGTCTACGTTTGGTCCAATTGACATGATTCCGTCTGATTACAGATCAAGACTTATATTATATATATTAGAGAGTTTAATGTATTTAAAATACTAAAAATTCGTAGAGCTCCAGATTCCAGATAAAGTGGAGAAATTAATAGGTGAAGATTTTCAAGAACTGATTTCATAATTTGTAAGTATTATTTACGGTAATTTTTTAAAGTTTTTTGAATTTTTAGAAAAAAAATAAAATTGTACACATAATATTTTGTTTGTATACAATTTAAACTCCGTCTACATTAAAAATAGTTGATCCCAAGCTTGAAAAAATGAGGAGGATTTTAATTTTTTATTAATTTAAAAAATGATATGGATCGTGTGTTCATTGATAGCTCGACTCTTACTATGAGGCCCGTTCGCCAAAGAGCCAAACCGAGCACGTTTTGTGTACATTATCTAAGCTCGGCTTGACCCTATAGCACGTGTCTAAGTTCAGAATGTGTACAGTTGAGATTAATAATTCAATATATTCGAAAAACATGTGAAATATATATTTCAACAAAGAAACTCCAACAATGATATATGTAGATAATGCTACATGCATAGCTCAATTAAAGAGAGGATTCATTAAAGGCGAGGAAACGGAGCACATTTCACTAAAATTATTTTGCACTTGTGATCTTGGAAAGAGTGATGAAATTGATGTTCAACATATTCATTTAAATAAAAATTTGGCAAACGTATTGACAAATGCGTTATCTACTGCAACATATGAGTAGAGATGATAATCCAAATGGTTATTGGACTTCCAAAAGGGATCACCGGACTTTAAAAATCACCGGACACGACACTAAACTTTGTAACATCATTCATCACTGAGCTAACGGACCGTGAAAAAATGGATGAAATTATGATGTGGTTGCAGACGTGGGTCCCATCTCATAAAATTGCTACATGTGGAATTGTTTGGCCACAAAACACATTTTTCATAGATCAAAAAAAAGTCAAATACACGCCTAGATCTCACTTTCTCATTCACTTCTTATTCACCCCTAAGATTAGACTATTCATTTTCATAAAAGTAATGCAACTTAACCATACTAGGATTATAATTTCAGTCTACGTGGCATTAAATGAAATAAGTAATTTAATTACACATTTTATTTAATTTATCATTTAATGTCACATAAATTTGGGTTATAACCCCGGTGGAGTTAAATATTATTATTTTTTTCTTAATCAAAAGCAAAGACTAATTCTCCATGTTCTAAAAGGCGCGCAAATGCGCCACCTAGGCGCGACGCGGGTCGTAAAGGCGTCGAATTCGAAAAATGCGGAAAAAATACGTTTCCATCTAAAAGGCGCGCCTAATGCTTGCCTAGTCGTGCACAATGCGCGCATTATCCCGTCTAATCCCCTTCCCCTTTTTTTTAAATCTATTTTTTTATGATATATTAAAAAAATCTATTTTTTTATATAAAAATATATTTAATACCTTAAAAATACGAAATGCATTATGGCGCTTATTCTTCGCATTGACACGCCTAAACTTGTGATTCTTGATTCTCGACCTGACGCACCGCAACGCATTACGCATTTTAGAACACTGATAAATTATAACTCAGAGAGATATATCAGAAAGTCGTATNTACGCATTTTAGAACACTGCTAATTCTCAAAGACACCTTGATTCACAAAAGAAATGGTGACTCTACAGAAATTCAAGCTATTCACAATGCAATGCCAAGTGGCAGGAAGTTCGACAAGGAGCCCAACCACCAACCCAGTAATACACATCGATCGGAGAAAAACTCTGAATGTTGCTCAACCACAACGGAGGTGGGAAGGGAGAAGGTTGCCACCTCAACCTGGGGATCAGGAACGGACCCAGCACCCGGCCAGGGGGACGACCGTGCGTGCTGGGTTGGCAGTGAACTTCGCCGTCGAGCACCTGGTTCGTCTTCTTCAATCTTCAATTTTTAGTTATTCATTTTCAAATTGAGCCAATTTGGCCATCCCATTAATTCATCTATTTTATTTTGTAATTGGATTGTGCCATTTGTCTGGGCCCAATCCTTAATATATAATATATAGGCCTAAATTCCTGTGAATTCGTTTGAAAATTGAAATCAATCTAATTCCCAAATTTTCAGTTTTTCACCTTCTCCAATCTCCCCCAAATTTTCAACTGAATACGCTATAAATAGTTTGGATCGAAAGTGCTAGGAATTCTTGGAGATTCTGGTTTTCCGATTCATAGAAAGCTTTTGGGGACTATAGATTCTGAGTTTCAGTAGGTGACGACTCCTACTCCAAGCAGTGATGCCAAAGCCAGATGTGACGGTGGGCCCGCAACCGTCTCCAACAATGACGCAGCAAAATCAGGAACTCTGTCTGTAGTCCGCACTTAGCCGAATTTTGTGAAACCCGAAACTGTAAGTTGTTTTTGAATCTTTGATTGTGTAGGTTACCATTTTTTTTAATTTTTATGAATTATTTTGGTCCCGTGGCTGTCATATTCGATGGTAAATCATGAAATTTAACTGCAAATTGAAATTGTGCAATGAAATGCAAAAAATTGGTGTTTGTCTAATTGTCTGCAGACTCACTTCTTTACTACTGTCCGTCTGTTCACTATTGGTAGATTGGTAGTTCATAGTTGGTTCTCCTCATAATTCATTCACCATTCAAAATAAGATAGCGTTGAAACATTAAACCATATTTCCAAATTCCAATACTGCAATAGATTTGGCGTCTGCAATTCAGATTTCAAAGGGTGAATTTTATGCAGATTGCAGACGCCTCACGCCAGTGACCCTCATTCCTGATTATGAAAAAGGAAAACTAATTTTTTTCCTTCTTAAAGTGTTGCATTTTGTACTCATTCTAAGTTGAATTAGATAAAAAATGAGAATGTTAATCTAGATTGGATTTGGAGGTGATGGTGATTGAGGTTGAGGACATTGACTAGTCAACGTTCGCTCGGGCTGAACCCGGGTGCTGGGTCAGTCCTTGCTGGGGATGACTCTTTTGATGGAAGGAGAAGTGACGATAGCAATGAATAACCCAAGAGGGGGAAGGATACGGTGGTTAGCCACAAGATCAGGGACCTTTTTATATCCTTATCGCCGCAATTCGAAGAACGTATATCAAGGAATGTAAGGTACGGGTTTGGGTATAGAATATTTCAGTTTTTTATTCTTTTTATGGAAAACATGTTTTAAGTCCAAATAATTCCATGTGTGTAGCAATTTGATGAAATAGAGCTCACGTGTGCAGTCACGTCAAAATTCCATCCATTTTTTCACGGTCCATTAGTTCAGCGGCGTGACAAAGTGCAAAGTTTAGTAATGATCCCGATTATTTTTAAAGTTCAGTCACCCCTTGTGAACCTTTCATAAAGTTCAGTAATCATTTGAGCTATTATCCCGTAGTATCCAATATTGGAACATGTCAGTTTAGAGTTCTTAAATGATATTACTATAAGGAAGAGCAAATATGTGGTATTCTCTTTTTTCCTCGATCGATGTTTTAGCCACATTGGAATTTTTGGCAAATTTTTTAATGATAGAACACTATATTACATATTAATAAGAATAATATTCCTTTTTTTTTCTTGCCTTCAGTGAGGTTTTCCATCAGATTTTTTTCTGGTAAGATTTTAATAAGCCATAATATTTTGTATAATGAACATCTAAGAGGGACAGTTGTAAATTATGGATGTTCATAAACCCCCATGACCTTAATTCCAAAATATTACAATTTGAATATCCCATATCTAGTGATGGCAAAAAAGTTCGTCGGCTCAGGCGGCTCGAATTTTGGGGCGTCAACGGGCCGGCCCGGGCGAGCCTAACATTAAAAAAAGGATAAATTAAATTTTTTTCAAACATGCAGCTATTTTCTCTGCTGCCTGCAAAGGTAGCAATTAAAAAAAAATAAAAAAAAATTTAAAAATCAAAAATTCTGCTAAAGCTCGGGCCGAGCCTCATTTTTTTTTTTCGGGCTCGGCTCGACCCGGGACGAAAAAAGCTCGGGCTCGACTCGAACTTTTTTTTCCGGCTCGACTCGTTAACACCACTATCCATATCCCCAAGTTTATAATTTCATAGATTACGTTGTAACTCTTACGAGTTTCAATTTCGTATTTTATAGCTTGAAACACCATAAAATGGAGATTGTAATAAGCGGATATACAAGTAAAATATTCTCTTTATTCACTTGTTTCATGTATCCTGTATTTCTTAAAGTGAGTTGTTCTCTTTGTGTTTCAATTTTGTATTTTGAGTTTTGAATTCATTTTGAACTTTGTGTTTTGAGGGTTCATTTTGAGATTACTGAAAATGTGTTCTTTTTGACATTTTGAAAAATTGTTTTGAAAACATGAAAAACACATTTTGAAAATTTTGGTTTGATTATAAATGAAAACACTCAAAACGACAAATTATTCTTTATAAATTTTTAACTTATTTTCAAAAATACATTTTCAAAAATAGAAAAAAGAACGCGTTTTCACTATTTTGGATAATCGAAAATAGAAAACGGGTTGAAAATGGTAAAGAAAACAGACCCCTAGTTTTTTACAACATATAATATGAAATAGTGTTATAAAAATCTACAAGTATACTGCACAAATTTGTACAATACATTAACATGTTTGTCTCCCATTGTTTTAACCTAAAAATTGATTTTTTTACCTTTTTTTTCAAAGCATTGGGGCCCTCTATGCGAGAAAGAAGTCAAAGATTGTGGCTCTTTTTACTGTAACAATGGTAAGAATTTTTATTTTTAGTGGAAACAAACGGGGGCTAAACTTATTTTAATTTTGAAATCATCCATTAGCGTGCATTACAGCTTAACAGACAAATCATGACATTCGGAATAAAAAAATATTAGACATTATATATTATCTTCAATTCTTGGCCGCTAAGGTTTTTTGGTTCCATTGTCTCCATCATGGTTGTTTATTTTAATCCTATTTAGCCAGCAAATTTTATCATTTTTAATAGGCAAATAATTATAGTTTAATTCCCCTTCACTAATTAATTTCCGGACACAACAAATATGTCCACTAGCACTATTTATCTACTATGAAATGCAGTTTAATTCTTTCACTATATTTTCTACGCTAAGAATTTGGGTTTGTTTAGAATAGCTTTCTACTTCCATTTTTTGTTAAAAAAAAAAATTAAAAAAATTAAAAAATAATCTAAATAAGTTTAAAAGCAATTTTTAACTTTTTAAAAAACATGTTAAACATGTCTTTAACAACGACAAAATGGGCTCAATGGCCCACAAAGCCTCCTCCCTCGCTCGTGAAATGTCACAACTACATACCAATATGCCCTACGAGGTGGGCCGGTTTGGGACTGACCCTTCGTGGCTCACTACTTATTTTGATGGAAAACACAAGCCCCCACAAGGCTAGATCAAGGTCGAGTCAGCGTATTTTGGTACTTGAATTGGATTTGATACGACAATTAATTCATATTTGACTAAAAACCAAAAAAGATAATTTCTTTATCACTTTTAAGTAAATTACACATTAAATTCACAATAGCTATGTACATTAACTCCCAAAACAAAATATAAGAAATTTCACTCACATTTTCATTTATAAGTTCCTACACAATCAATAGTGAGGGTGTGTTTGACACCCATTTTTGTAAAAGAATGTGTTTTTGAATAGTGATTGATGAAAAAATGTGTGGTTAAAAAATAAGGAGAATTTTTGAATTTATGAGTAATATTATTTTATTGATAGAATGTGTGGTTGAAATGGAGAAAGGGAAAAAATTGAGAAAGAGAATGAGAAAAAATGGATGTCAAACAAGGGCAATATATAATTGTTTTGTTATTTTTTATTGAATTAAAAGTTAAAACAAAAAGTAGAAAAGCAAATAATTGANGGTATGGAGCACTGAGTTTTGCAAACGGGCCCCTCAAATTACCATAATTTAGATTCAAGGACTCCTTATCCAGATCGTATGAGTAATAGATTTACACGTGGCACTCATCTAAGCACTACAATATCGGCGCCGGCATTGCATTTTTGTGTCAGTGTCCAATAAATGTTTAATGCTAACGTAAAACAAACTGCACCGAGTTGTGAAAACTCACAAATACCCTTTAATGGATATAAAAGGTTATTTTCTATAAGGACAAATCTTGTGCCAAGTGGGAAAAAGGGAGAAAATAATTTACTCGACAAAAAGAAAAAAAAAATAACCATTGGAAATTATATATTTGAAAAACAGTATTATGAGAAAATAATACATAGTAAAATATACCATTGCAACTCAAATAATACACCATTGCTCTAAAATAAAATAAAAAAAACTATTGTGACATTCAACATTATTTCCAATATATGAGAAAATAAAAATTTGTGAATTAAATCCTCATAAGAAGCCAAATTAATTGAAATGCTAGTGACTTGCTTTGGATCTTATAGTATTTGGCACATAAAATTTAAATTATTGCAGTTGCTTTTTATATGAATAATAAATATTTCCCTAAAAGATCATGGAATGTATTATTTCTACAAAAAATAAAAGTCTCATTTAATACGTTTGATCGTATCAAAATAAAGATAAAAGATACGGGACAATTAATAATTTCTTTTATATAATTCTATGTAACCATTTTGTAAAGTGCAATGTAAAAAGCATATTTGGCCCTGCTTGGTGTAACTAAAAATCTTGCTAAAAATTTAAACCAACGTCAACAATTAGTTCTAATTAGTAATCACATATTATCGTGCGATTCACAACTTCTCAATTATACATTTCATCAATTTTATCAAAATTTACTAAAAATTTGATTTTTTTCTACGCCAAGAACTTGGACAAAAGTAAGTAATATTAAAAAAAATAAAATGGTGAAAACACATTAGGTAGTAAAAGTAATTTTTTTTTTTAAATTTAAAAATTTATAGTGAAAACACATTAGACGGTACACTTTGTACCAATAACTAAACATTTTTCTTGAAAAATAAATAAAGGAATCTACTCATTTTAAATGTAAATTTTGTTTTACATTCCATAATTAAGCCCATGTTTAGTTACTTAGATGTATATAAACACATTGATCAAAAATACTTTTGATGAAATCACTATTTATTTGGGTTAATTTCACAAATGGTCACTGAAGTTACCTGAAAATTTCAAAGCGGTCACTAAAGTTTCAAAGTTTCAGAAACGATCACTGAAATTTGAAATTTCTTTCAAAACGGTCACTGAATTTTCAGATTTTTTGGCCAAATTTGAGGCAATTTTTCGGCAACTTCCGACCACCAAAACCACCGATTTTAGATACCGTTGGAAAGCCCACGATGTCCTCTTCAATTACCACCAAAAATCTCCCAAAAACTCCAAGTGATTCGGCCGGAATAAAGCCACGAAGTCGGCAACCGAAAATTGTGAAAATCTGCCCAGATTTTCAGATTTTTTGGGCAAGTTTGAGGCAATTTTTCGGTAACTTCCGACTACCAAAACCGTCGATTTCGGATACCGTTGAAAAGCTCATAATGTCCTCTTCAGTGACCGTTTTGAAATTTTTAGATAACTTGAGTGATCATTTGTGAAATTAACCCCTTTTCATTTACATAATTAGTAGAATCAACAATATTACTCATTTTTCATCTTTCATTTATCTTTTTTTATGAAATATTTTTGTACTTGAATTCTTAATTTTTTTATTCCATATCTTCAAAAAAATTAATTTTCACAAAATCAATAATAAGTGCATGTTTGACGCACATTAATTTATTTTATGGTTTGCTATTGCATCATTGTCAACTACAAATTCATATAATAAAATGTTCTACACGTATATCAAAAGTTTTTCCTACTTTTTAACCAGACATTCTCCTAAAAATATTAAAATTTTGCTACTCGTACATAAAAAAAAATGTACATAATAAATTACATAATATGATGTGGACTACACGTATATCAAAAGATTTTCCTACTTTTTAACCAGACATTCTCCTAAAAATATTATAATTTTGCTACTCGTACATTAAAAAAATGTACATAATGAATTACATAATATGATGTGGAGGAAAAAAATTAGATAAAAAATTGATTGTGTTTTAAACTGATAAATGATAGAGTGTCACGTGACATTATGTAATCCATTATGTACGTAGTAAGATTCAAAATATTATTCAAAACTCTTTTTTTTTCGAATTAATGAGAATCAAAATGGCTCTAGTGTGTTTGGGACACATTATTTTGAAAGAATGTATTATTGAATAATAGATTGATGGAGAATGTGTGATTAAAAATGAAAGAAAAGTTATTGATGTGATGGAAATATTATTTTATTGAAAAATATATGATTGAAAATGAGTAGAAGAATGAAAATGAAAAGAATAATGGGTACCAAATAGGATAATTCTCCACAAGGAGTTAAGCAAACGTATGCACCAATCTGAAGGGTACATCTGTCTTTAAACATAAAATGGGTGCAGAAGAATTATAAGAATTCCAACACAAACTGCCCGTATATTTTGTCTTCTGATTGTAAAACTCTGCTCCAAGAAAAATCTCTTATCTTCTTCTCCTCTCTCTCTCTAGCTGACACCAATCCGTCTTACCTTTTATCTAGTCGCCCTCTATTGTCAGTCGTTTACTATCCAAACTCTTCACTCCAATCTCCACTAACCCTTCAGGTATATACATTTTGTATGTATATGCCTCGATTTATTTATTTTTTTGGTCAGATCGATTTCTCTTGATGCTCATCTATTAAATTTGCCTTAAGTTTGTAACTTTGTGAGTTTTTTGAGGAAAAAGTGAAGATCTCAAATCGACGATCGGCGAGAGGGAAGTTCTTGATCAAGCTTGTTGTAGAATATATCGGGAGGAGTTTTCAGGTATGATATTATTTACACAATATATATCTTGTAATTGTTTTTTGAACAAGTGTACTGATAAAGATAAAAAGCAAAAGCTTATCTCAGAATAGAAAAGATATTGTGTGTGTGTGTGTGTGTGTGTGTGTGTGTTACAATTACTCAGCTGAATTTTCAGTTGACCTTTCGTTTTTGTGAGATATTAATTGAATCTTGGCTTAATTTGACGATGTAAGCTTTAATTAAGATCAAAAGTGAAGCTTCTGAATTTTTATCGGTAATTTTATGTAATCATTGTTGTATCTAATTACATAACGTTTATGTGATATTAACATTTGATAAATGTAATTAATTATTTATTTATGAGGAATCTTTTTCAAGAATCCTTTATTCCGCAAGCAATGAAGATTCTTCTTTCTTACAAGTATAATTGTAATAAGAGATCATTGATTTTTTTTAATTATTTAATAGATTATTCGATGATGAATATTGGGTGTATGAATGAATATACGTTTATTAAAATTTATTATGGATTGCAGAGGATTTGAGATGGGTTCTCTTCAAGGTCCGGTTCTTTGCCCCATGGTCCGTGCAAAACAAACAGGATTGTTCTCTGTACCGGCTAAATCACCCTTATCAAAAGCTAAGTATATCGGAAGCGGGTTCTGGGGGATTACGGGAATCAACAATGGTAGGATAAATGTGGGTTATAGACAGTATTCACCTAAAGGCAAGCCAATAATGTGTAGTTTCAGTTCATCTTCGAATGGTAATGGTAGCATGGCCGGGAATTCCAACGAGAATGATGCTGATTATGTGAATTCCAGCGTGGTTGAAGCTGGTATGCTACTTTGAAATTGAAATTGTTCGTTTCCATTTCAATATTTTTCAATGACAGTCTTTTAGATTTATATGAAAAACTATGTTTATTTTATTTGTCGAGTTCCAAATATGGACACGAGAAATCAGAATCTGTATATCGGAAAGTAGGGTGTAATTTTTAAGAATTGCTTGACATCGTAGTCCTTCCCGCATCATGTTTTATTTTCTTCGAGGAAATCACCATTCCATCAAATGTCTGATTGAAAATTAAAAGCAAGCTCCAATTTGGTGCTTCTCTTTTCCCAGTTCTCACATATGCAAACTAAAATCTTTTCCCCATATTCTTCTGTTGGCTTAATATTTATGAGGAAAGTTTTGGTCGGATGATGTTCCAAATGATAGTTGTATCTATTTGATTGTTTAGTCGAGGTGAGGAGCAGCCTGGATGGTTTCATGATCAAGATGAGAGACGGTAGGCGTTTGAGATGTGTCCATAATAATCCTCAAGGGGGTCATCTGCCAGAGTATGCTCCACATCCTGCAATCGTATTGAAGATGGAAGATGGAACAGGCCTTCTTCTCCCTATAATTGTTTGTACGCTCATATTGAACTGTGATTACTTTCTTTTGTCTTTTACGAGTGTTAAAATCAATTCTTGACTATCTATTGTTCTTATGCTTCTTTTATTATAGTGGAGATGCCAAGTGTGCTGCTCATGGCAGCTGTTCACAATGTCCAAATTGTAAGTTTCATCCTTGTCAGTTCTGCTTGAGATTGCATACTTAAATAGGGGATTTCTCCTCAAATCATGTTTTGCTGAAAGCTTATTTGTTGGTTGTATTCAGGCTAGGCCGACAGTTTATCAAGTAGTGAAGGATATGATTGAGAAGATGGGCTACACGGTGAGCGTATGAATCTCTTATTACACTTGCCTAATTACTCTTTGATAATACCAGACTACCAGTGGATGTTATTCTGTTCTTTCTGTTGATTTATCAGCTTGCCCATTTTGCAGGTGAAACTTGTTCGAGTCACCAAGAGGGTACATGAGGCATATTTTGCTGAGTTACAGCTTGTAAAGGTAAGTTAGATATTTGTTAGTGATACCACCATAGAGTGAAATGTGGAAAAACTCAACCTGTGAATCACATACACTCCTACGATGGCGTGTCCCTGTCCAACACTCATGGACACTCTGGGCAGCGCCAGATAGACAACGTCTGATAGAGTTAGGTGTTTTACTTTCTTCTCTATGATTGTAGTTGGACAATGAAGCAGATTGTGTCAGCTTTGATCTGCGACCTTCAGATGCCATTAACATTGCTGTGAGATGCAAGGTAATTTTTCACAAATTTTAGAGTTCCTCTCAGGTTTTCTTTTTTTTTTGGTATACAGGGTGTTTCTTTTTACTCATCAGCCAATTTGTGCACTCTGTATTATGTTGAAAGAAATATTTACTCTGGAATATCCGTAAATCTGTGGAAAATCGAAACTGAAGTGAATACAATTGTGATTAAGACCCTTCTTTGTTGTTTTCCTGAATAACCATTTTTGCACAAAACATCAGACATCTTGTATTTATGAGAACAATAGCAATAAATTACAGTCGGACTAACAGCCCATATTTACCTTTCTTATATTTCAGACTTCTTGTATTTATTAAGTAGTCTCCAAATAATGAAATCTTACATGGTTTTTTCATCTGACAGGTGCCAATACAAGTCAATAAATACTTGGCCTACAGTGATGGAATGAGGGTTATTGAATCTGCAAAAGTGTCCGTCCATAGCTCTGTATCAGATGGTTCGCTATTCACTGAGTTGGACAGGTATAGCCAATATTTCTTGGACCTCCAATAAGAAAAGAAGTTGTACTTTACTATCCAATCCAATCCAATCCAATCCATTCCAGTCCAATACGGAGTACCAAATGAGCATTTTGGGAATCTTTTATGGTGGTGGTTGATGCCATTCATAGCAAGGGCATGTTTACTCTAGTGATGGAAAAATTGAACTTTGAGATTACACATTCTTGACTGCGATTTTTGAGGCAATTAACAGTATTATATTATTAGTAATTCATATGGGTGTGGAGGCATGTTTTGGCAGTTCTTGTATGGTATAACTAAGGTGTTGCGGGTGCAGGCCTTCTGGGCATCCTTGCATTGAGACAGAGGAGTTCAATCTCGTGCGCAACATGCTAATTGCTGCAGTTGAGGAACGATACAAAGATGCAGGTATACGTTCTAATCATGCTTCCAGGACATTAATTTAGAACCATCTTTTAATGTCTTCGGAAATCTTGTTTGCTTTTGCTTTTCTGCTTTAAACCTATTGGAATTTAATTGGAAAAAACCAAGGGTTATAGAATCTATTCACAGCTTTAAATTGTTACAAGTACGGTCATAAGATATCACTATACAACATGTTTTTAATCCCAAATAAGATCGAACAAACCATTACTTTGTGAGATAATATGTTGGTTTTATTGAACGACTTCCCTCCTCGTGTAGCCTATGCCACAATAATATTGTCCAGTGGATTCTTTTATATTATTCTGTTATCATATTGATAATGAATTCGTTCTCAGAAATATTCCTGCGAACCATATGTAATTATTGTGTATATGATCGTTGCTGATTTACTTGCATTTTTTATCCATTTGTGTATCTCTATTCACACAAAAAGTGAAAATTTATATGGTTTTCCAACAATATTCGGATGCTTACTTTGGGATTGTGTACTGCAGCTCTCTTGAGGGACAGGCTTACTCAACTTCGCTCTAAGAGGAATTGGACATAGCAGGTCGAATATTGCGTCTTCCTTTCCCATTCCCGACCCCAAGAAAAATGGGGTAATCTTTTTTTTTTTCTTTTCTTAAGGTGCTACAGGTGGATGACTTGTGTACGTAGAAACAATTGGTCCTGCAGCTTAAGCAATTTGTTCCATGGCTTTCATTAAGATGTACGTCGGAAGCTTGTGTACATGTATATGTGTATAGATAGAAACTATAATATAATGGCTTACTAGGTGTTGTCCTTCCTGGTTTACTGCGAAGATATTGACTGTTGATCTGTGTTTTACAGGGCAATACATGGCTCCTTAAATCCTTTTTATTGTGATTTCCTATAAATATGAAATACTTACTATAAATGTGAAAATTATTGATACTTTCAAAATGTCTCTTTTCCTCCTCCTTTGGCACCTCGTTATGAAATTATGGGATAATTATTTATGATTATTTATTTAGAGTACTTAGATAATTCTTTCTTATACCGTAAGGGTAATTTTCGTTTGAACCTCATTGTTTTGGAAGGATGTATTCTGGAATAGTAGATTGATGGAGTGTGTGGTTGAAAAAGAAGTAAAAATTATTGATAGATGTAAAATATTATTTTATTGAAGAATGTGTGGTTGAAAATAAGTAGAAAAATGAGAATGAAAAAAATAATGTAGATCAAATAGGGGCTAAAATTCTACCTAGGGGTCATTATTCCGAAATATACTTTTGTGTTTTGATTCTATTGCTTTTATTTTATTTTTCTTTTAATTTTATAACACATTATCAACACGAGGTTCTAGCCAATCCAGCGATAAAAATAAATTGATTATTTTGTTTTTTTCAAAACAAGCCACAAAGTTATAACAAATAGAGCTGTCAGAGAAACTTTTCATTCCTCTTTTAGTTGTACAACACAAAATGGTATACCTTATTCTATTTGATTATATCGTTTCGACTATAGAGTTTGATGATGACTCCTCATCAATATTTTATATGGATATTTTAATATTATTTTTGGAAGAGTATAAATTTAAACATAATAATGTGTCATTTTAAATTATCGTTATTCCAGAACGGAATAATGAGATGTTACTCTTGAAGAGAAAGAAAATTGTCTAATGGCACAAATTTTTACATTTTAATATTTTTGAAGAATATTATGTGGTTTTTTCTTATTGCCTTATAGCTCTCGAAGAAACATGACTTCATAAATATTAATACTTCGGTAAAACATTGTGTTACTCTTGAATAAGTATAAATCTATATGTGTCAATATTTTATTAGAATATGACAGTTGGATTCCTAAAGAAATACTACCTAAGTCTGCATTTTCAAGTCAAATGTGTATCGTATATTGTTTTACATTTATATGCAACTGCATTTTACGATGATTTGCTTTTCTGAAAAGTTAAGAAGGCTTATGTTTCCAAGCACTTTTTAGTTTTTTATTTTACAAAACATTCAGAACACGTTTGATCTGATATTTTTAAAAATAAAGTTAAACTTGTACCAGAAAATTCAAAACGTATTTTTTATGTTTTATGCTGAAAATATTCAAAGTATGGGAATTAAGCGTTTAAATTAAAAAAAAAAATTAAAATTCTAAAAAAAATAAAAAACTTTAAAAAAGAAATTATAAAACAATGAAAGATTGAAAAAATAAAATCTAAAATTCTAGCAAAACAAAAAATAAAAAAGATCAAGCTCTTATTGGTTATTTACATAAAAAATTTAAACAATATATATTTAAATCAGCACAACATAAAAATTCTCAGCTCATGCCATTATTTTTTCTATATTCTGCCAACTTAATTTATTATTTATTTTATTTTTTTGGAGAAAAAATAGGTAAAATTCACCAACTTTAAAATATATATTACTTGATAATGTATTAATATAAAATATTCTATTTTACTGATTAATAAAATTTCATGTGGTTAAATATCATAAAATAATTTTTGAAAATTTCAAACTAAACGTGTATTTTAATTTTCTGTTTTTCAAAATGACACCAATTATCTTAAAATAGACCCTCAAAATGAAAAACTAAAAATAACTTCAACCTCAAAAATCGATTTGATACATTTGGTTACAAAGTTAGAAAGCAATCGATTAACATGATTGATTTGATTAGTATCGTTACACCATATTTGACATCCTTTGGTCATATATGAGCATTTTTGTTCTGACTACGTTGTCCAATGGAGATTTATAAATGACTACTTTTGTATGTGTTTAGACCTAGACATGATTCGGGTGGGTTGATTTTGAGCTCAACCCGAAATCAAAACCAACTTGGTCGGTTTGATTTCGAGTTAAAAAACTTTACCTACCTATTTTGAGTTTAAAAAATTGTTTGCCTATATATAATTTTATTTTTCCCGCTTGAATAGTACACACACACACACACACACACACACACACACACACATATATATATATATATAATGTAAATGATAAATGATCGATTTTTCTAAAATATCCTATATAGCTTACAGTTATCAAAAGTAATGTTACAATCTAAATTTGGAGTTTACAATAAACAATTATTCTCCTTACTTTTCTTTTGAAATTTGGAGTTTTGGTAGAAAAAATGTAGACGTTAAAAAAATTATTTGAGAAAGAATCATATTTATTTTTTTATTATTTTATTTTTAAGTTTAAAAATATGAATTTTAAAAAAATATAAATAAAAAAAATGTTGTATACGTTAATGAAAGCCCAATAATGGCTAATCAAGATGGGGGTGAATTGTTTTTAAAACTTTTTCGTAAAATTAATTTAAATTCAAGCAAATAAGAAATAGATAGATTAATTTAAATGACAAATATAAGTATAAAAGGGAGAGAAGATGCAAACGATGTATTTATGGAGGTTCGATCCCAAACGTGATCTACGTCCTCCGTCACGAGCAAGGCCTTTTCCACTATCGTGATTAACTTATGGTGCAATCTAACCGTTTACAAAGCTTCCGGTGACTTTCAAACAAGGAGCACTGATCCTTTTACAATATTGAGTTTTACGGGACCTCAACACAACCTACACTATTGAGCTTTACTGGACCTCAATATGACCATCGATTCAAAAGAGTTTTACAAGTGAGTTCTTCACTTCTTAATGAATAATAAATTTAAAGTTGAGAACAAGAAGAGAAGAAGGCAAACACTTTAATAGATAGCAATAAATATAGTTCAAGTGTTGGATTTGAAAAACTTTTATAAAATTGATTTTCTAAGTTTAAAATAATCAAATGTTTTTCAATATAAATCAATTTATAAAAATGAATAAATAGTAAAGACCAATGATTCATCTTAATAAATGCTCACTTATTGCTCTTTTGATGGTTGAAATTGAATGCAAAGTGAGTTGATATTTATAGAAGCAAAACAATCAAAAGTTCTGTCAAACCGGACGCACCATACCGAACGTCCGCTACAGTACCGGACGGTCAACTAGCCATTATGTCAAAAAATCAAGATGGTTGAATTTTTTACCTTGGCTCTAAAACTACAACATCGGACGTCCGGAACAGACATCCGTACGACAGTTTTACGTCGAAACATCTTCGTTTTAATTTTTAACAAATGTAAGTACTTGATGGATGTTTTGAAAGTATTTTTCAAGGTAAGTGACATTTTTCAAATATAAGTTTGAGATTTTTACCTTTTGAAAAATAATCTTTATGCAAACATTTTTGTATTGTGATTTTTCGTGCGTAAAATCGATTTTGAGATTGTCATTGTTCATTGCCACGTACTAAAATATTTTACCTTTACATATGAGCATAAATAGTCTAAGCGCTTCGTTTTGAACGTCTTGACGTGCATGCTCAACTATACTTCGATTTTTATCTCGATTCTTGTTGATGCATCTTTNAACTTCGTTTGATCAATTTAGTTTCCACGTCCACATTGTATGCAAATTTCATGGCCTTGAACTTCGCGTCATCAAATATATTGATTTGCAATAATCACTATAGACGCTCGAAATGAATGTTAGAAATAAACACAATTTGTTTGTGATAATCAAAACGAGACGTCAACCATAGATCAACAATTAATTGACGGGTTGGTGGGCCCGACTGTGTAATTGTTAAAATTAATCGAATCAAACCGACCCAATTCGGTATGGTTTGGTTGGTTTAATCGATTTTTCGATTTTTTTTCCCACTCCTAAATGTGTGTAATTAATTTTATAAAAGTACATTTTTTAGTTAGATGAATATTTAGACGAAGTTGGCACAAGATAAATTTCTTTAGAAGCTCTTCAACAGGAAGAAACTATTTTGAAAATTAGTTTTCAAACATCGATCAAGATTCTACAAGAAGTTGAAGCAAAAATCGAAGTCTTGCCAACGGGCTCATAAAGTTGGACTCATCAAAATTGCTACATATACTGCGTACAAAATGAGGAGATTCTAAAATTCTTTAAAATTTAGGTGTTCTTAATAACTGAGTGATTTCAAGATATTTAAATGAATTTTAAGCTTAAAAATATACCTAATAACAAACTCTTAAAATTTCACTATTTTTAATGAAATTTTTATAAATTACATTAAAATCCATTAAAATTTATAATATTTTAAAATCTATTAAAATTTTAGTTGAGGACATCTCTAAATTGAAGAGTTTTTCCTCACTATATTAATCTTTTCCTTGGAATAATCTAACATTAGCACCGATCTAATGAGAAACGCCACTTTCTCGATTTAGAAGAAAAATGATTTGTTCGAGTATATTATAATTATTTGTTTAATAGATTGGAATGATTAAGATTAATGTAAAATTAGAGATATAGGAATTCAGTACTCGTAATTCACACGTAATATAAAGCTAGAATGTAAGAAATTAATGTTCACAAATCACGATCTGCTATTCTTTTTAGTCACCACCACCAATATCACTACTACTACCCTGCTACCACGCCATACCACACCACCACCACTACCACAAATATCAATACCACTACTACTCCCACTACAAATACCACCATTACTACAACGACAACTACCACTACCACAAATATCACCACAACTACCACTACCACACCACAACTACCACTACCACTACCACTATCACAAATATCACTACTACTACCACTACCACACCACTGCTACCACTATCACAAATACCACTACTACAACAAAGACAACTATCACTACCACAAATACAACTACTACGAGAACTATCACTACCACCACCACCACTACCACCACCACAAATATTACTACTACTATTACCACTACGACACCACATCACAACTACCAGTACCACAAATACCACTACCACTACCACTACCACTACCACAACTATCACTACTACCACTCACACTACAACACCACAACCACAAATATCACCACTACTACTACCAGAACTACCACCACCACCACCACCACCACCACCACCACTACCACTACAACTAGAGTCAGATAAGTGTAAAACAAAGTAAATTAAAAATTAAAAGAATATATTGCAAATCTTTTACACAAATTCGATATAATTTATAACATCTATGGGTATCCTCATAAGTAATCTACCTTGAGCAAATATTGCCGACACTCGAGAAGAAATTTTTTGGTTATAAGTAGTCTCGTCTTGAACTACATATAACAAACTTTGAAACAATCACTTATGATTTAGGTCTATGCAATCCTTCGAAGAATGAAAAGAAGAGTGTGCTAAATACCATGGTAATGTTGGGGTGCTCACACTTAACTTATCGCCAACATCATACTATTACTTTTTTCCCGCCTTCTCTCAAACTTGGAAATTACCATGAATACTAGCTACATCAAAATTTAACTTGTTGACTTATAAAAACTGAGATTAATAAATCTATCTCACTTTTAAGGAAAAAGGAAAAGGGATAACGGAAGATAAGAAATGAAACAGACCTCTTAGTTCATTTGTCATATCCTTCCTATCCTTTGCCTTCTAGTTTCGACTGCTAGGCGCCATCGGTTATTTTTTTATTAAACTATGATTAGATCAACATAAATTCCTGTATCCTTTTTCATGCTTCATAAGTTCTCAACTCTTGTCCCTTGTAAAATCATGTTGAGCATAAATCCAGAAAGCAGGTCATAATCATTTCTTGGAAATTTTAGCAAGTGAAGTCAGCTCAAGATTAGAGAAACTCAGAGATTTTGACATGTTCATTTCCCTGACCATGCTGATGGTTCCATCTCAAACCCAATCTGTAATAAGTGAAAAGACTTCATTGATTTGCAATAATCACTGTAGACGCTCGAAATCAATTTGTTAAAAATAAACGCAATTTGTTTGTGATAATCAAAACGAGATGTCAACAATAGATCAACAGTTAATTGACGGGTTGGTGGGCCCGACTGTGTAATTGTTAAAATCAATCGAATCAAACCGACCCAATTCGGTTTGGATTCGTTGGTTTAATCAATTTTTCGATTTTTTTTTCCCACTCCTAAATGTGTGTAATTAATTTTATAAAAGTACATTTTTTAGTTAGATGAATATTTAGATGAAGTTGACACAAGACAAATTTCTTTAAAAGCTCTTCAAGAGGAAGAAACTATTTTGAAAATTAGTTTTCAAATATCAATCAAGATTCTACAAGAAGTTGAAGCAAAAAATCGAAGTCTTGCCAACGGGCTCATAAAGTTGGACTTATCTAAATTGCTACATATACTGCGTACAAAATGAGGAGATTCTAAAATTCTTTAAAATTAAGGTGTTCTTAATAACCGAGTGAATTATAAGATTTAATGATAAAAGTGATTTCAAGATATTTAAATGAATTTTAAGCTTAAAAATATACCTAATAACAAACTCTTAAAATTTCACTATTTTTAATGAAATTTTTATAAATTACATTCAAATCCATTCAAATTTATAATATTTTAAAATCTATTAAAATTTTAGTTGAGGACATCTCTAAATTGACGAGTTTTTCCTCACTATATTAATCTTTTCCTTGTTTAATAGATTGGAATGATTAAGATTAATGTAAAATTAGAGATATAGGAATTCAGTACTCGTAATTCACACGTAATATAAAGCTAGAATATATAGAATATAATGTTCACAAATCACGATCTGATATTATCACTACTACTACCCCGCTACCACGCCACGCCACACCACACCACCACCACCACTACCACAAATATCAATACCACTACTACTCCCACTACAAATACCACCATTACTACAATGACAACAACCACTACCACAAATATCACTACCACTCACACTACCACACCACAACTACCACTACCACTATAACAAATACCACTACCACTATCACAAATATCACTACTACTACCACTACCACTACCACACCACTGCTACCACTATCACAAATACTACTACTACTACAAGGACAACTATCACTACCACAAATACCACCACCACCACCACAAATATCACTACTACTATTACCACTACGACACCACACAACAACTACCAGTACCACAACTACAACTATCACTACTACCACTCACACTACAACACCACAACCACAAATACCACCACTACTACTACTACCACCAGAACTATCACCACCACCACTACCACTACAACTATATTCAGATAAGTGTAAAACAAAGTAAATTAAAAATTAAAATAATATATTGCAAATCGTTTACACAAATTCGATATAATTTCTAACATCTATGGGTATCCTCATAAGTAATCTACCTTGAGCAAATATTGCCGACGCTCGAGAAAAAATTTTCTGGTTATCAGCAGTCTCGTCTTGAACTGCATATAACAAACTTTGAAACAATCACTTATGATTTAGGTCTATGCAATCCTTCAAAGAATGAAAAGAAGAGTGCGCTAAATACGATGGTAATGTTGGGGTGTTCACTCTTAACTTATCGCCAACATCATACTATTACTTTTTTCCCGCCTTCTCTCAAACTTGGAAATTACCATGAATACTAGCTACATCAAAATTTAACTTGTTGACTTATAAAAACTGAGATTAATAAATCTACCTCACTTTTAAGGAAAAAGGAAAAGGGATAACGGAAAATAAGAAATGAAACAAACCTCATAGTTCATTTGTTATCCTTCCTATCCTCTGCCTTCTAGTTTCGACTGCTAGGCGCCATCGGTTATTTTGTTATTAAACTATGATTAGATCAACATAAATTCTTGTATCCTTTTTCATGCTTCATAAGTTCTCAACTCTCGTCCCTTGTAAAAATCATGTTATAAGGTTTACTAGGAGCATAAATCCAGAAAGCAGGTCATAATCATTTCTTGGAAATTTTAGCAAGCGAAGTCAGCTCAAGAATAGAGAGACTCAGAGATTTTGACATGTTCATTTCCCTGACCATGCTGATGGTTCCATCTCAAACCGAATCTGTAATAAGTGAAAAGACTTCATATGCTCATCTATTAGTTTAGTAAGTTATAATTTATCAATCTGGAAAAAGCCCCAATTCTTATTTCTTTAATGCAAAGTATTAATCAAGTATACTCTATAATAGCATCGAAGTTGTCATTTAGAACTATGCTATACAAAAGGCATTTACACAGTATGGATCAGAGCATAAAACCAAGTTTTCCATATTATTTCGAAGTATTAAGCATGTAAAAGATATAATAAATAACCACTATCAACAATATCAAGTGAAGTCGGGATGCTGGGTAATAAAACTGAGAAAAGTAAAATAAGACTAATGTGATACTCACAATTGTGAAATTACTGCGACTGCGTTACAGCTATTTGCAAATTCAGGAAGTACGAGCCAAACTAAAACTCAAACTGCAATCATCAAGTAAAAATGACAATCTCAGGCAGCCTATAGAATCTGGAAACTTGGAATAAAACCATTACAAGGACATGGATGGAGCCTAATGAATTTCGGAGTTTCTACCCTACATTGAGGTCAATGAATATATGTTGACATTTCTTGTCTAATTTATAGATTAAAATCACTTTTTAAGTCAAAATGCGATGATTATATCTGTGAAATTAACAATAAATTGATGTTTTCCTCAACCCGATCAGCCCAAAATGAACTTCTGATAAATGCCTACTGATTATTCGAGACTTGAGGCTTAAGAGACCTTCTACAGCATAACTTTAAGTGTTCTTTTAGTTTCAGACATAATTTTAGCAAGATATAATGAATAGAAAAAAAGGATATAGTGAAGAGAAATTTTTATCTCACCAAAACAAGTCAATGATGGATCATAGAATCTAATTTCTCCAAATTTATTAAGACTTCAACTTCCTCCCAACATAGCTGCAATATGAGAAAAGGAAAACATTACAAGTACTAAAAATGTCTCATTAATTAATATCAATAGAATTGAAAGGTAAATACCTGAATTCAGCTCATTACAAGAATACCTATTGCATCATGACTCAATTCCAACCGTGTTTAGCTGTAAATCTTATTCAGAAAAATTACTTGTAATTTTATAATCATGGTTTTAAGAGCAACTTGCTCTTCCATTTACAGATATCAGCTTGTCTAATACCTACAAGATGATGAAATGCAATTATTCCAAAACCAATTCATGAAATGCGCTTATTCCATAACAAATTTCAAGAAATAAAGAATAATAAAATATCAAATCGTCACAAGGATGCCTTTTGCATCCCAACCCAATTCCATCAACACAACACGAAGTGAATTTCAAAACGAATTCAAGAAATCAAGACACAATTAAGCCCCTGTATGTCCTTTATTCCAAAAAATTATTTGTTACGGTAAGATTCTCCATCATACATTCACCCAATAAAATATTCTACACACAAATCAATAAAGTTACTTTAAATTTAAACTACACATACTCCAAAAAAAATACAATTCATTACTATATTTTTCTCCTACCCTAAATATCAACTCATCATTCATATATAGAATTCACCTCTCGTAACACACTACCAGATGTAATACATAACCTCCAAACATATTCAAGAAATCGAGAACAATCAAAATAACCATAAATCCAAACCCCACCTTTTGTTACAGTGAAATAATCCAATCCAATAATTCACCATACATTAAATTCCATGCACAAACCCAGCTAAAATAAATCAACAAAAAACTCGAATACGGACAAATCTGAATTACTTCTTTTTCCCTTTTGCAGACTTCCTCTTGGGAGGAAGAACAATCTCTCCTTTAAGCACAGGGATTTCCATAATCTGCGACAACCCACCGAATTTCTTGCGGAATTTTTCAACCTGGTCAGCATCAACAAGAAGCTGTGACCTGCCACCCAGGTAAAATGGGTGGTTCCCAGACCACACATCCACAACATACTCTTTCTTGGTTCCACCAGTAGTCATAACCAGTTCACCATTGCAGTACACTTTCGAATCCTCAAAGAATTCCGGGTGTATGTCCTTCTTCCTGCAACTCCACCGCATCCGATTGCTGCCAACCACTCCCTTCACCTGCACATAAAAAAAAAAAAACCAATTATAGCAAAACATATTCCCACTTTGTTACATTTTTATGAAGTAGAAGATGATTTTTTTTTTTACCTTGTCAATGAGAGAAAGCGTGGGAGGAGATAGATTTTTGTACACGAATGTACTGGATAGAGTGAGTGCCATTTTTTCTCGAGAGAGACACGGAGAGCAAGAGTCAGCAATGGATCAAGATTGTATGATGGGGGCTTTTGGGCTCATGGGGGTAATGAAAATTATTGAATTGGTCCTTCATTTTCATGAAATTGTAAGGGTATTTTTTTTTTATTATTTCTATAATTTATTACATTCTTTCACATGGACATATACATCTCCTTTGATTTTCTCAACACCTTATAACATCATTTTTCAGATTACATTAAAAAAAAAAAAATTAATTTGGGAATAATTAACACTCTTTAATTTTCATATTTATTTTTAAATATATATTTACACAATAAATATATTGCACGTAAATTTAAATTTTTTTCATACTTCTTAACGCACTTTCTCCGAAATATTACTATTTAAAATATCATTTTTTTTAAAAATAATGACCATCAAGGGACTTACTCTTAAATATATTTTTTTTCCCAAAATACTGGTTTTAAATCCTTTTTTATTTTAATTATTTTATAATAAATTACATTTTTGAAAATTGTGTTACACACGTTTCGAAGCCTTCACCGCTTCACATGTAACACAGTGAGTTACATATATTTTGCTTCCTATTTCTATAGTCATTGTGGCTGCCGCCAAATTGTCGAACCACGTCTTGTGTAACATAGTTACACCAACATCGTCGACCCACTACTTGTAACTATTATTATTACACCCGTACCATACTCGTCATTGCTTGCTATAAATACAATCGTCGTCGTCGTCGTCATCGCTACCACCATCACCTTCACTTTTAAAATGTCGAAGTTTGATCCAACTAACACCGAAAGGAGGTGAATATGTATTTTATGCGAAATTTAAATTTACCAATATTTAAAACAACTAGTCACTATAAATATTTAATCCAGATGAATTCACATGCAAATCTAATCTAGATGTTAAATTATCGCAGTTTGTAATTTGCAAAAAATAAATAACACCAAGGAATTGATCATGGAGAAAAACTCCTTGCGGGATTAAAAAAACACCGAGCACACTACCAGTAAAATCCACAATAAATGAATTGACTTACAGTATAATCCGGACTCGACTAATTCCTAATACTTTCTGACTTACTGCTTGTAATCAGTAATCACTAGGCTCTCTTAGTCTATGAGCTCTTGACCTATGGAATCGTCTATTTCACGTGAATCACCAATAACTCCCATATTCTCATCCTACAAGAACCACGATCACCTTCCTAAATCTTTAGCTCTCACTAACTGATATTTAGGAAGTGGGGGTTTGGTGTTTTGAGTAGGGCTAGGCAAAACCTAACCAAAACCACTCAACCCGACCAACTCAACTCAACTCAACTCAAACCAATTTGTTTAGGTTGGTTTTTAAGTTCAACTGGGTTGGATTGAGTTGGGTTTCGGGTTACAAATTAAAACCCAACCTAACCCGATAAATTTAAAAAATTAGCATTTAAAATTAAAAAAAATTAAATAGACACAATGTTGAAGATAAGAGAAGGATTTATAATTTATAAATGTCTATATTTTTTTACACAAACTGATTGACATGAATACTATGCATAAATGTAAAGTTAGTTAACAATAAAATATAAATTAAGGACATGATAATGAAATGAACGAGTCCCAAAAAATTGGAAAAAAAAATAATTCATAATTTTAAACTTATTTATATATTATTTTTCAGAAAGAATTCTTTATTTAGGTGTTAAAAAATAAATGAAAGTTTTCAAGTAATTTCAAATTTTGATATATTGTCTAACGTCAACAAAAAGTAATCCTTGGGTCGAAACCCAACCCAACCCAAACCTACACAAACTTGATCGGTTTGAATTGGGTTGGGTTTAGACCAATAATTGAATTAGGTTGATTTGATTTTAGATCAAACCGACCGTGATGGGTTGGGGGAAAAAATCAACCCAACTCACGCCCATGCCCACCCCTAGTTTTGAGAATATGAATTTGATGTTTTCAATGTGTGGTTGATTGATTTCAATGTAAGGAATTGGTGTGGAATATCCAACAGATGAATTATGGGAAGAATATAGGATTAAACTATTTATACACACAAAGTGTACACCTTAATGGCACTCCCTATGTGTAAAAAAATTGGCATACAAATGTATTGTCAAGATCAATGTGTTAAAATTTGCCAACTCAAGCGAGCGTAAGCTATTATGTTAATCTTATGTACATGTAGGATGATCCAAAAATATAATGATTAACCAAATACGTGGACGAAATATAATTTGGATATATATAGTAGAAGATGTTTGGGGTTATTTAGGACTCACAAAACTATTTAAAATGCAATGTATGGTTTTCTTGAAAAAAGTGGCGCTCGAGGGAATCCTCGATGCAAGGTGAGCTCTGGCTGACGCTCGAGCGAAACACGACGTTACGCTGGCATTATGCTCATTGTTTTTGGCGCTTGAGCATGAGCAAAAGCTGTGGATTCCTAGTGGAAAACTGCCTACACATTTTAAGGGACTGCCCTATGGCAAGACCAGTGTGGGAGCAACTCTTGACGTTGAGTGAGTATTAACGCGACGACTTTATCTCCTTGTCCATATACGAACCCAAAGACTCTAAATTGACCTATACAACATTCTCATATTCATTGACTTTTACAACTTTAATTTTGTCTAAAAAATCGCAAATTACAATAAACCTAACAACTTTCACCACCAGAAAAAGGGAATAGTTGATCCACCACTACCTTCACTCACACCACTACTAGTGATTCCAACCCCAACCATCACCATTGAACCACCACATGTTTACTAGATCTACGTCCCATCTCATTGTCGCATCCTTCACCATTTCAACCACTCCAGCCATCTCGATCGCCGCTTTCCCTCACCAATACCTCAATCTTTTATGAACTTGATTCACAAAACCATTAAAAAAGGGAAGAAAAAGACTCGTTCTATACGCCACCACCTTTATACACACCATAAATTGTGGATCCATGTCAACATCTCAGTTTTTCACCCCTTGAAAATTCCAAATCCCCAATCCATTTTAATCTGCAAAGTTAAAAATAAAAAAAATAATAAAATATTGTATGTTTTCAAATGGTTTTTGGATTATATTTTTGGCTAAACAGAATATCTCAAGATATTTTGGTATATTTTTTTCCTGTTAATGTAGATTATGGATTTTTTTAGGTGAATATCCTACATATTTTTACTAAAATTAATCATCAAACTTGTCAATATTTCTTGTTGTTGATGATGATTAAGGATCAAATATGGAAAGGATTGCAACAAAACTAAGTATATTGCAAAGTGTTTTAAAACATTCCCTTGTAACATATTGCAAAATTATTTTGTTATATGAAAATGATACTTGGAAAGCTTTCTTAAATATTCTGGAGAGAACTACATCGATTTTATAAGTTTAATGGTCAAAATTCGATCATATTAAAGTATAGTAAACAATCAAAGACGTTTTGTAAGTTTAGAGAACAATTAAAGACAAGTACAGTAAGCAATCAAATACCTCTTCTCTTATGTGGCAAGTTGGTGTGGCGTGAGTTATGCAACCTGTGCATTCCATCTGCCATGTCACCAATTTCGTTAGAGTTGAATAACGAATGTCATGCCAGTGAGTGATGTCAAATATTTTGATAAGTTTAGTAGCTAAAACTCGATATTGAAACTTCAATGAGCATCAATTAACTCAAGTCCCCTTTTTTTAGAAAAAATGAATTTAAATATCTGCAAGGATATGAATAGCTACTGATATATTGCATCAAAATAATTTCTTAAGCTCCAAAATAAGGACACAAAACTCAGGTTAATGACATGAAATCTGTTATTGTGAGGGTATAACTCAATAAATTCACGGAGAAAAGAGGTACACAAACAAAGCAAAACATTATCATTCATTAACTATATTCTAAAATGACTTCGGTTTTATTCCGAAAAAAGATGAACCAGTCTCTGCAAATTCGTACAGACAGGATACTCCGAAAACTGCTTCTGAAATGTCTCATTGAGCAGCCTTTGGAGCTTTATTGGGTAGGATATTATCTGGAAGAATAAGTTCTGGGGGAGTTTCACGGACGACACCAATCATTGAATCATACTCCTCGTCACGACGGGCGAACTTCTTTCGCAGCATCTTTTCAAACTCAATCTCGTCAAAGGGCTTCACATTTTCGGCAGCATGGACTTTTGCAAGGTTTGTATAATTGGTGGCTGACTGGGAGATGAAGGCTATTTCTTCATCTGTAAGTTTCCTCAGGAACTTGGCCGGATTACCGCCCCAAACCTGCAATTCACAAAAAGGTAAGATAGTTCGACTGCACCTGTATAACGTTTAAGATCATATTTGGCCTGTAATACTAGACTTGACTAGACAATATAGTTAACAAGATTTTTAACTTCTTTCTTCTTCCTTAATACTGATCAATGCTAATGCTCTCTCTTCATCCATACCACCAAACATGCCATAAGGGAATTTTGGTACACAATAAATATTAGATAGGACAAGACAATATTATAGAGTAAGATTCTAAATTGTTTTTTCTTTAATATTGATTGTCCAGTACTATATAATCCACCTACCAAACAAGCTATAAGATCACAATTACATACAATTGCAGTATTGCACTCAAGAAACTACGGGAGGGCTGCCATAATTGACTAAGTTCATAGCAAAGCCCTGGGAGGGCTGCCAGCATAAACTCCCTCATCACATTTTCTCACAAGGCTAAGTATGGTCTCCATTATGAAATTTAAAATGCCCTATAGCATTAGCATGTATATTTCTCTCTTGATTTTTGAATTGTGGAGACTTCTAGAAGGTATACCTCCCCACAGGGGATGCGAGTATTCTGTCTCACGAGGGCTCCTGCAGCAACCATGGCGTGTTTCTCTACAACCACTCCATCAAGCAATGTCGCACCCATACCAACAAATGCCTCATCCTCAACGGTGCAGCCATGTATAACTGCACTGTGGCCTGTACACGTTCAAATCCAAAACCCGATCAACTCTGAAACTGTTACTATCTAATATGTGGAAATCAAAATAAAACAAAATCAAAAAGTCATTCTGAAACTAATCTATAGAATACTAGCAGAGCGCTCACCAACAGTGACATGATCCCCAATGATGGTTGGGAGCACCTTCCCACTTAGATTAGATTTTGCCACATGCACGAGGGAATTGTCTTGTAAATTAGTTCCAGACCCAATAATGACGCTATTTACATCCCCTGGCAGAAAGAGGCACGTTTGACAAAAAATTAACCGATAAAAGAAGGATAGATTGATTGAAATTACGCGACAGAACCTTTATACATAAAAATACAATGCCGCATGCAACAAATATTAAACAATCACCTTATCAAGCAAAATTGGGTTATTTGCCTATTTGGATTTATAAAATTTTGATTTCGCTTTCAACATCAACATAGTAATTTTGTGCTAGTGAATTTTCAACGTCAACATAGAATATACTTAATTTCAGTGCTACTACCATGAAGTTCTGAATGAAACACCTACCTCTCACAACACAGCCATACCAAATGGATGATCCTCGTCCTACTTGAACATCGCCAGTGATGGAGGCACTTGGGGCAATAAATGCATCCTTATCGACAGACGGAGCTTTGTCAAATATGTTCATTAGAGTTCGATGCCTAGACACTAAAATTAATATCCATTAGATGAAAGGAAAAAAAAAAGCATAAGAAAAGAACAAAATATTCGATGTTAGCTACAAAGGGACCTAGCTATGACCCATTTGCTATTGAGGGTACTTCAAAGGTACTTTAGCGGTGAGCAGGGTTTGGAATGCCAGAAAAGTTCTGAGGTAGTAAATTCTAGGTGGAACTTGCAAAGTATATAGCTTTGAGCTAATGGCTACACCTGAAGATCATGATTTGCACATTTTGTACTTGCCCTCGCCTTCGAAGAAGAAGCTTTAGTTGGAATGAGCTCAAGCTCTTGCTTGTTAAAGCTGTCATCACAGCTGAAGCATCAACACTCTTAATGTTTTAACAGCTCACTAATATGATACTTTGAAAATGTGGGTCAATAATAGGTTATACTAAATTCTAGATAACAAATTATGGTACATCCTAAAGTGATTCTTGTTTTACCACAAACAGCCAACTATATAAAAGAATACAAGAACTTTATCCAACAAAACAACGAAGCTGAGATAGATGCTCCTACAAATGTGAGACATAAAGTTCAGTACAACTGATTATCAAGCCATGTTATGCTAGCTTTTTAGAAGTGATTCCTTAAGGTGTTTGTATTTTTACCACTTTGTGACTGGAAATCCTTCAAGCATGCTGTGGTTCTTCGACAATGGATATGCACCTGATACTTTATATTGCATATACCCAAGAAGTATATTCAAACAGATCCATTGTATAACTACTTCAAATTGAGCTAAGTCTATTTCCATGAACACCATTTTACCAAAAAAGAAACAGCATAAACAAGTAGGAATATTCTATCTTGTATCCAAATATGAAGCCCCTGTATCCAAACATTAAGAGATTTAACGCTTGTGCAAAATGGCACAACACTTTTTCCTGTCTAAATCTGCATATATGTATATTTCAGAAATGTCTGCTTCTTATATAATAGGAAAATTGCAGCCATACTCCCCAGTCTTTGGGCGGATTGAAAAATGGGTGCCCGTTCTAATTTTCTTCGTAAAAGGGTAACCAAACTTGTAATTACCCAGCAATTAGGTTCCTTCTAACTTCTAAGCAAGAGTGGGTAACATTATCCGAAACAGATAGAACAAGACTGGAACTGGACTATTTGCTTCAGTCTGGTTATACAAAAAAATTAATTTTGGTTCTTCTAAACCATGAATCGGCTAGTTTGAGCCAGTTCTCAGTTTTCTCATTGGAACCGATTCACTGAAATAGGTTCTGTATCAAGGGGTCGGTTGCCTAACAGATTTCGTTTCTATTGCATGCGTGTAAATAACAAGCATTTCTCTGGTTGTTACATAGAAGTTGTTGTAAACATAATCAGTGTGCGAGTGTATTTCTTCTCTATTTTATCCAATGAAGTTCACTCTAAGAAATATTATTTTTTCCTTGGCCGACTTATTCCCAAATAGCATATCTATGCACCTCTCCCTCCAACAACTCACTCTTTTGTGGGTGCCAGGTATGTGTTTATGAGTAGTCATTATGTCAAATCTAGAAATTCCCCTGCTTATTTCTTTCTGGAATGTTTTTTGGCCCTTTTGTTTGTGGAAAATTGCACTTGCGATATGCTGCAGCAAGTGCTTTAAACTGATTCAACTTAAGAGGACTGAATTAGGAATGACCGACTCAGGCACTCATCCTTCAAATAAACAAATTGATTCTGTTAGAGAAAACCCATATTGAATCTTGTTTGGTTGATCAATCCAGATCGAACTGGACCGGACCGGGCCGGGCCAGGCCAGGCCTACTTCTAAGGCATTGAATCCATTGAAAAGTCAACGCTCCCATGTTTAAATAAATAAAAAATATGAAGAAAAATCCCTATTAAACCTCCACCGTCCATGAATAACCAAAGAAACAAGCAAAGCAAATTTACCATAAGCCAATGTCCCCATTTCATTCCCCCATCTTTTATGCATTTTAAACTTTATAATCCAGTGTCCATATTCCTCAAACTGATTTCAGCATCTCCACCCCGAATCCTTTGTTTCTGTACATTCTCTAGCATTATCAGTGATTTTATATAGTTTATAGAGTCTTTATTATCCTGAATTGATAGCTTTTAAAAAAATAACATGTACCTCATTAAAATGAACAAGGAGTTCATGTTTAACCTTTCTTTCTTTCTCTCTCTCTCTTTTTTGCCTCTTTATCAGTACTTCTGTCCTTTCCAACATAAAAAATTTTCAATTACCAACCAAAACGAAAAGAGCACAAACAAGATTATTTGAGTCCTTGCACAAACAAAAAATTTCCCTGAGCAGTTCACACCTAATTGACAGATCTAACATCAATTTTTACAGTTTCAAACAAGCCATTACACTGATTATGGACATTAAAAGTATCAATAGTAATAAGTACATTTGAACATCAAATTCTTCAGAATTCATGGCATCCCTTATTTGCATTTTCTAACCTAAATTTTGATGAAATCCCACTTCCCATTTCTATTTTTGTATGATATTTCCATTCTTTTCAACAGAAGTTTAATTTTTAAGACATCCCGCAGATAATTTTCCGATCCCGTTTTCCACTCAGCAAATTACTTAATTAAAGAGCTTAAATAGCAAGACCAACAATAATTTCCATTCTCACTAAAATACATTAAGACCAAATAAAGGTGGATCAAAAACTAAAATGACGTAAACGGCGGATATGGAGTTTTAAGGGGAAAAAAAAAGTAAATGGGCGTACGTTGTTCTTGGAAGTAGTAATTTCCTTGGAGGCGACAGCCGAGACGATCCATTGCTTGGCCCGTCTCTCGAATCCAAAATCCCAAGGTGTAAACTGCTTTCCCCAAACTCCCCATTTCGAATTTACGTCTTCTTCGTCCTCTGTTGATCGATCAGCTTATCTGCCCCCCCAAAAAAAGGCTTTCAAGTTGCTTCGTATATCGAAGACTGGAGAATGGATGACTACTGGGCGCTGGGTCGACGGCGAGGAATTAGTGGCCGGCCATTTAACCATGTAATAATAATAATAATAATAATAATATGATAAAAAGGTAAAAAAAAAATTTAAAATATTGAAAAAAAAAATAACAACGTGTGATTTTGAAGACTTACCGACCCCAGAGGTGTCAATCCGGGTGATCCGGGCTGAGTCAGGCCGCCAACATATGAGCCCGATAACGGTCCGCGTGAAAAAAGTCCGTCCGCTATGGGTTCCGGGCCGATTTTGGGTCGGCCCACAAATGTTGGACTACAACCCAGGCACGGCCGCTGATCCATCCGGGTCGACCCCATGCAGGTCACGGGTCACGGTTTGTTCCTATTTGGCCCGTATTATTTTATAAATAAAATTATAAAAATATAGAATTTTTCATATTTATAGCAAAAAATAATTTTTTTTGTTAAATGTAAATTAAGAATTGAACAAAATGATAAATTCATATTTATACCAAGAAATGTTTACATATAATTCAAATTTAATATCACACGAATTATTTAGAACTTTGCAAAGTTAAATTTAA